CTTCGCGGACAACCTTGTCTGTATTTCGTTGCTTCATCGATGTGTGGATGAAAAACCTATGGAATTTGTGGGTAAAAGAGGCCCTGTAGCTTTTGTGTACCTCCATACCTGGTATCCAACTTCTTCAGCTGCGGAGAAGTAGTTCATGTAGAAAGACATGAAACTATTTACGTGATCGCTGTTCCCTGACCTTTTATCAAGGGGTCTTAATGAGGTAAGAGCGACGTAAACAGTGAAGTAAAGCTCCTCTGATTTTCTTAATTCTCATCTGTAAACCATATCTTTCTAATTCAAGCCTATTCAAACAATGTAGAACAGAATCGCAAGCTTTCTGCTCATGTTCAGAGCGAAAATCTTACCGACGACTTTTTTCCATGCCTGGAATTTTGTGTTCGTAATTTCTCCATCTGGGATTTCTGTTGTGCATCATCGTTGTGGAACGCTCAGCGAGGAAAGGGGGCGGGGCGTATTATAGGCAGGTAGGAAGGATGAGGCGTGACGGAAGAACCGCTCATTTTTGAAGTGTTGGACTAATGCCTACCAAGGTGTTCAGCAGTATATAGAAAGCCCTTTTGAAGTAAAAGAAAAATAAAAAAAGGGACTGTGGGTAAGTCGGTAAAGATGAGCCAGTAATATGGATAAGGTGGTTTTACTGATTCATATTTACCATCTTACTTACTTGAGGCGGAGGTGGTGTAGTGACAGGTGGCACTCTTATGGACTCGCGCGGTCCTGGGTTTTGACCCGAGGCGACATTCTGAATGGAAACAGAAAGGGTCCCGCATCCCACAAAGCGACTGATCAACGGCGAAGACTTTATCCTTTGATATCAATGAAGGAATGCAAAATTTGAAATAAATAAACATAGGATATTGATACAAATCGTTCTCTGCTGAAATTTTGTTTCAAAAAAAATCATGGTTCTTCTGCATTTCATGAGTTCCTTTATTTCAGATATTCGTACCAGGAAATGGCAGAAAACAGCAACTTCTCGAGGTAAGTGTGAACAGAACTCTTTCCATTAGATAACTAGACACTTCAATGCATTTAGTTGACCGGCGCTGTTTATCGACGGGGGGGGGGGTGCATTTTGTACTGTCACTGCTTCCCTTGCTATGGAAAGCAAAATGCCCCCCGTCGATAAACTGCGCCTAGTTGACCTTTTCCTTTAAGTCTAGCTAAGATTACAGCATATGCATAGATGTTCGACATTAGGCCCGTAAGGAAGTCTCTAAACATAGGCGGTTCTATGAAGAGGACGAAGCCGTATCCACTTATCACGGGGAATGACCACCGACAAGTGCCACCTTGCCGCGTAGCATGGACCAAACGCGCCTGATCGACAACAGGATTATGGCTCTCTTCCTGTAGGGCCATACACAACTTTACTGGCTACATATGTATCCAGTACACCTTCTCCCCCCTATTCGGTCAAGCACGGGTCATGCTCAGCTTTAGCTGATGAAAAGCCCTGTAATGCTGAAAAGCCTCCGAAGACCCTACTTATCTCAGCAGGTAAACCAATTCCACGCAATAACTGTCATACATTCATTCCTGGATGCATCCTGCGCTGGAAAGAACTTCCGCCATATGCGCGCGGGGCGGGAGGAACCCCCCCCCTTTAATGTGTCTTTCTTCCTGACACAACCCTTTTCCTATCCCCATACGTACCTACAATTCATTGATTTCTCTGCAATTCCTAGCCAGTTGTATTCGCTGCTCTTCCGAGAAATTTCTACTTAAAGCGCACATTCCCGCGGTTAAAATAAGGCTATGACCTCTCAAATGTGTCGGACGATCCGGAAGGCGATTTTTGAGGCTGCGCTACTTTCAAAATGTGAAAAACGGCAAGAACTCCGCTAGAAGCTGACTAATTAGGCCCATGGACACCCCTTAGGCCCATGCCGACCCTCACCGGCTGCTAGCTACTAGCTAGTAGCCACTATGTTATCTTTCTCTATAACATTTCGGACTGCTTTTTCTGCTGCTTTTCTTGCTTTTCTCCGCTAATCAGATACTTAGCACTTTTTTGTGCCTATTTTGAGTTCCGTTTCCACGAATTTGCGGAGGCCGCAACCCCTGTGCCTTTTAATCTACAAGAAACGGCTGCCAAGGTTGTAGAGAAATATAGCACACATGCACATGAAACGTGAAAAACCCTGGGAAAAATTCAAAAGATCCAAAGCATTTTTCTCAAAGGGATATACGACTTCTTCCCTCTAGCGATCAATTACGACTCCCTCGCTTGGGATCCCCAGCGAGGGAGTCTTAATTGTGACGATACCCTGTTGTAAAGGCTGCTGCTCAGTGGCTAGCTTCACTCACTACTTTCTGGTCTAAATGCGGGCTATTTACTGTGATTAGGCGACGTTTAGACTTCTCGGTGACACCGCTTCGGCGCTACCGTGACCATCACGCTTCACTGCTACAGACGGGTATTGATCAGCGCTAGCCGCTAGCGTAATTTTGGAAGAGTTCAGGAAATTAGGAGGCTACTGGCTAATGTGATTAGGCGTTACAAAATATTTAGCAACATTGTTTTTTGTGAACACACCCCAGACCTTTCAACTTTTTGCGACCACACCGCAGGCCTCTCAACTTTATTACCCCTACTCACACAGTCTAGTACAGTCCTAATCTCCTCTACTTTCCCAGCACACTAGCTAAGCTGCCGATGGCCGTCTGTGGCTGGGTTACCGTCTGTAGCACTGAAGCGCGATTAAAATAGTAGGGCTGAACGTGGAATAATTGGAAGTGATACTTTTTATTGATGGTACTCTTTTAGTAGGATCGGACAAATAAGAAGCAAATGAGACCATCAGAGGAACGCACCATGATCCAAGTGATTCCGCCCATGCCACCAGGCCAGAAACTGTCCTTAAGAACATGACCTGAATGACGGTTAACCTAACTAGACGCTTAGTGGTCTATTTTCGAGCGCGTGGATCACTTCGAAGGGACCATTTAGTCTGATGGGGATTGAGTGTATCTTCCTTGTTTGTACGAAGTAAGCCTCAATTTGAACAATATTTCAGACTGCGACGTAGCCTTCTCACATCATCGGGTCCGTCACGAGCTCGCGTCATGGAATTGGAACGGCTTGTCAGCAGCATTCCGCCACGAAGGAGCCGCAACGCACCGACGCCGTCGGAAGACGATGAACTGACGTCAAACACCGTCGACAATTCGTTGCTTGAATCTATGGCGTACCGGCCATGTTTCTGTCCATTGTACGCACCATGTATTGGCAGGTGCCACCGATTATTCCGATACTGGTAATGGCCAAAGTCGCCAGGATTACTCGATAGAAGATTTGTCGGATTCGGACGAAAATGATGATGTTCTCGGCGCAGTTTCTGATGTGTGTTAAAGTGATTGGGCACTGAAGGCATACAGTTCATAATAAAGATTTTTGGAAAAGAGCTTTATTTTGATACCCTTCCTCTGTGGTTCGTCACAGTTCCTTCAACCAAATTTCCACCGTTGATATCTGCACCTTCACAAATAGTTATAGATCACATTACTTATATCAAATTGAAAAAAATCGCTTTTCCCTTGAGGTCCCATCATAGGTTCGCTTGAGTTCCTGATGGATTTTTAGAGTTGAAATTCACGCCGTCCCGTTTAGTCAGCTTATGAAGGAAGAAAGGGTAAAGTCTTTGCCGCTGACCAATCCCTTTGTGGAATGTAGCCACGCCTACCCGATCTCAGTGAGTTCGAGTATAAACTAATGCAGCTACAGTGCGTTTCACCAGTATACGTCCAACCATCAATTTACTGAAAACATTTCTTGAAGCGGTGATGAAATTCCTCGTATAAAAAACACTGGAAAACATGTTTTCAGTAAGTTAGATTCTTTATGGAGGTTTTTATAGGCATTTAACCGATTTTCGGCCGTTTCAAGCTCAACGTGCTGTTGGATGCTTTCTTCCATATTTGCCGTTCTTCCCTGGCGGACAGTTTTCGTTGGTGTTTGTTAGCTCCGCCACTGCCGTAAGTCTCAGGATTTCTGAGGTAGGAGCAGACGACGCAGTGAGACCTGCCAATTTCCTTGGCAATCCGCCGATTGCTGAGTCCGGCCTGGTGTAGGGCCCGAATTTGGGCCTTTTCTTCCGAAGACAGACGAGAACCGCGTGGCATCACAGTGAGACATGTTCTCGTCTATTTTGATAAGAATATATCACCACGTTGAAACGGGAAAATTTTTAGAGCCTTATATCAAAGGTGGACGTATAGCGTGAAACGGTGGAAAATTTGTAAAACACCTGTAGAAATGTTTATGATGGACTTGTTTTTCTGGAATTATGCTTTTCCAGGTTTTTTCATACATAGAATCTGAAAACGTGCACTACAAAATTGGATCACATTTGAAGAATTTTTTAGGTTTAATGTGGGGTGGACGTATAGTGGTGAAACGCACTGTATTAGGTTGGCGACCAAGTAATTGCGGATTTTTTTAGAATATCAATGACAATTTTTTCATGGAACGAAATAATTTTATTCTGTAATGTATTGCCCATTTTTATCAATGACCTTTTGCCATCTTTCAGGCAGCATCATAATCCCACGTTCATAAAACTTCTGGTTTTTATTAGCAAAAAACTGAATCAGGTGCGATTTGACATCATCATCATTATTGAAATTTTTACCATTCAAGGAGTTTTGTAAAGAGCGAAACAAAAAGTAATCTGATGGTGCAAGGTCAGGACTATATGGTGGATGTGGCAAAACATCCCAACCAAGCTCCAATAATTTTTGCCGAGTGGCCAAAGATGTGTGTGGCCTTGCATTATCATGATGGAATACCACACCTTTTCGATTTGTCAATTCGGGCCGCTTTTCTTCAACAGCATTGTTTAATTTCGTTAGTTGTTCAATGTAGACATCAGAATTGATCGTTCGGTTGGGTGGTAAGAGTTCAAAGTAGACAATTCCTTTGTAATCCCACCAAACTGATAACAAAACCTTCTTTTGATGAATATCAGCTTTTGATGTTGTTTGAGCTGGTTCACCTGGCTTGCTCCACGATCTTTTCCGCTTGATATTGTTGTAAACAACCCATTTTTCATCGCCAGTTATCAGTCGTTTCAAAAATGGATCATTTTCGTTACGTTTCTTAAAGGCAGTTGGCACGATAAATCGCTATACAGGTGTAGGATTTGTACAACTGGCTTAACAGAATTCCGTGACCTCGGACAGGCGCTGCGTGAAGCCTTTTCCAAGGAGGGTACCTCTATAACGCCCTATTGAGCAACAACTTTACGTCCCAAACGCCTTCCTTGCCCGCCCGCCCACAAACGGACGACCGTTTCTGACGCTCGTATTCATTCATTTGCTGAGCAAATTATGAAGCGAAGGGATTGGTATGAAGCGGCCGTGATGCTGCATGCATACATGGGTACACATATGCAGCCGTATCTTCGGTAGCGGTGATTGGCAAGATGCTACGGGAAACTCGTCCGAAATCGATTTACAAGTCACTGAGAACGGAGGCTTTTTCTTCGCCGGATTTTGACCGTTTCACTCCGTTCTTTCGCCATTTCCCCACTATACAGCGCCCTACTAGCATTTTAGGCTAAGTAGGAAACCATCGTGCCAACTGCCTTTAAGCAAATCGCAGTTGTTGATGCATTGCGTTAAATGCGTGCATGTATGTGATACATGGAGCTTTTCTGCGATCTCACGTGTTGTACTGTGACGATCCGAATCGATTATTGCTTTGATAAGGTCGTCATCAACTTCAACTGGACGACCAAGACGTTCCTCATCTTTAAGTGAAAAATCACCAGAACGAACAAGCTAATTCTGACACTGCCGTTGTTTCAAGGCTTCGTCACCATAAACAGCACATAACTTTTTGTGAGCTTGCGATGCGTTTTTCCCTTTGCGGAAATAAGTAAAATATGACGAAAATGTTCCTTTTGATGTTCCATTTTTCAACGAACGCCAAACAAAAACTATGCAACCAATCAAAAAACTTTTTATACCGATTGATAGCTGAATTGCCAACTGTCTAATAACAAAATAAGTTTTACACTTGCTATGTCAGCAAACCTAAAAATTCAACTGAAACCATCTATGAGTGAAATCCACAATATAATACCTATTACGCCTACATCCTGAGCTCTTTTGTTGTCAACAAAAAGAATAGGTATGAGGGAATTCCGTTTCAGAACTCTCTGATTATATGACTGCTGCAATGGCTGGGAATTGAATCAGAATCACTCCGCACATTGATGCAGTTGAAACCGTAATTTGACAGCTATTGACTAATGTGGCTGTGTGGAGAGTGGCGGACAGTTTGGTTGCACTGTGTGTGACTGCAGACCAGCTCCAAGTCGTTCGTCTCACCCGTAATGATACTCTCCACGAAGCAGCCGGAAATACGAATCCTATGGCCTCACCAACGAACGGAAAGTGCACTCGTATGGATCCCAACACACACTTCTACACCCGGCGCTACTGCGTCACTGCAATACTAAGTGTGTGCCCAGGAAAAGGCTAAGTATTGTGTCCTTCCTGCCAATTTTTGGATAGCTCGAGCTCGAGCGCTTGTTAGAAGGATGCGTAATTCTTGGGCACTTTCATTGTTTACATTGGCATGTCTTTGACAGCTGAGATTGCTTGACAAGACAGTCCAACCAAGTGTTAGGTTGATAGCAGCTTGGTGGCACTGCTCTCTGACCGACGACAAATTGGTTACACAGCGTGCGATTGCAGAAACTTCAGGGGTCCTTCGTCTCGCCCATAATGAATCGCTCGGGAAACTTGTCGGAGATACGATTCCCACCGTGTTAGCGACAAGAGATCACTAGAGTTACTCGGATCCTCACACTTCGCGCTTTAGCGCACCTAACACTATGTGCTCAGGAAAAGGCTAGTTTCCTTCTGCCTTCCTGCCAATTCTTGGAAAGGTCCGTTTGGGCCAACAACAAAGATAAACTGTGGTTACCCTTCAAGTTAGTTCACTGTGTTAGTTCACACCATCAGCTGTGCACGCTCCCTCAAGCTCCTGAAGAAAAGTCGCAAAGTCACTCTTATTGCTGTAATCAATAGTCCTATTCGAGATCAAGAAAAGTATCTCCACTGGCCTAGATGCTTTTTTCATGTATTATTTGCGTTGTGGAGCTCCGGGCCGATTCTTGCCCGAACCAGCCAACCCTTCTACCCTCAAGGGACGCTCAATTGGGAGCATAAGAACATCGGCTGGCCCCGCGAGTCATTGTATAGGCCACATCGCATTCAATAAGCCACTACGATTCTGAATGGAAGTAGAATGCGTGCCGCATCCCACAAAGGGATTGATCAACGGCGAAGACTTTAGCTTTTTTTATTTACGTTTCAAGAGGCTCGAAATGGCCCGTATGAGACCTTCTAACTTTATCTTCGACAAGTAACCAAACCTTTCTTAGCTAACCAAACACTCTTGAGACTACCAGAAGTGTAGAATACTGCTATCTCTGAGCTTCATGGATAATTGTAGAATAGATGATTTCGAAGCTCTTGCATCAAATTCTTTATTGGTGAGCTTTCGGCGATAACGCCGTCATCAGACCTTCAAATTACAATACATTACCGGCCTACAGCTACAACATACATCAACATTAGCATTAAAACCTACCAAGGGTGGGAGGGGTGGAGGGGTGAACCTGCCGGTGCGGCGCGTGCGGTATAAATGAGGAAGGAACTGCTCAGCAGCTCTAAGACACTAGGGTCCTCTAATGTCACATTTATCACGCAATTAGTCTTAGGAGGTCACGTAGCTCCTTCCTTGCGTTGACTTCCGGCATAATGCGGTGGATCTTCCAAGAGTTTCAAGCTTCCCTTTCGACTCGTCTTCCGCCCTCCCCCCACACTCAAGGACCTCCTTACTTCTTCCCGGATCTACGAACATCGGTGTCACGAACAGTCATGTCGATACTGTTCATCTGAGAAGATCTGTGAACTCAAAGGCACTGTGTATTCAGTCCGATGTAGAGGTTGTGGAGAAAAGTACGTGGGAGAGACTGGAAGACCGCTGAAGATTCGTTTGGACGAACATAGAAGAGCATTGGCCAATCCCGTCGCCTACCCAGCGCATTCTCCAAGCATCGTACTCTTAAACATGAGGATGAGAACCCACCGTCCTTCGATGTGAGTGTTCTCCACAGACATCTGGTACGACCGCTCGAGAGAAAAATCATGGAAGCGCGGGAAATCCACCGCATTAAGCCGGAAATCAACGCAAGGGAGGAGCTACGTGACCTCCTAAGACTCATTGCGTGATAAATGTGACATTAGAGGACCCTAGTGCCTCAACACGTTGACGACAATCGCGTTTTGCGGGAAAGCGCCACGTGGGACAATGGCGTGCTTTCGCATGCGTCCGCCCTGAGCCACCGGTGGCTCATATTGTCCCTCGTGGACCACTTTTTTGCCGCTATGTCAAATTTCGCAAAATGATAAGTCATCGTGTAGGGACTGCTATTTCAACCATCTTTGACCCTATTGGATGCCATCTCACCCGCCCTCTGCGATCACGCCCACTTTTTAGCGCGATCGTGATTTCCAAAATGTGTACCATAACTTCCGTTTCTAAGAATTTTCTTGGAATTTTCTGCTTTTCACACATTACAATGATTCATAGATGGCCACACCGACACATAGCCGGCCACGCCCACTTTTTAACAGGTTTGTTTTATATTTAATTTTCATACCTTATCTCAACGTTGACGCTTTCAAACACACTCTTCACATATTGCTCACAGACAAGCAATTGCACAAAGATGCATAAGGCTCCGCACACTTAGCTCGCCCACTTTAGATCGATTTTCGCGATTTCTAGCAATATTTTATTATCACTATTTATCCATATTTTATTTCCACTATCCATATTTTATCACTTGTTCACCATCTCAAGATCACCAAACGGCGTTAAGTACTGAGAAAGAATGACCAAAAAGATCGCTGGCGCCAAAGTGGCGCCTACTGGCGCCATATGGCGCCAATGACAAATGAGATCTCACGTTCATGATCAAAGACCCGCGCAGTCCCTGCAGCCAAGGTTTCGTCCAAAAAGAACTATTTTGGAGGTTTCTGCCGCAGCAGTAGCTAGTTGAAAAATTTCAATTTTTAATTCAAAATATCTCATGGGGGCAGCA